CTGCACAAGGTTCCGCAGCACTGATCAAATTCAGCAGCAGATCCAGAGTCTCCCTCGGAACCAAAAACGCTAACATAAAAAGTATGGGAATAATAAGATTATTGAAAACTACCAGGGAGATGAGCTGTCTTTATACAAAATTTTTTCAAAGACAAAGCATCTTTGCATGTTGGTTTTGGATTGGGATAGCTTCTACAGGTAGCATTTTTCTGTCTTTTTTTTTTTTTTCCAGCATTAATACAATAATTTATAGCCACTTGGCATTTCTTATACCCATTTTATAAGTTACTTGTTCTTCTGTGCCAATGAAGGGGATAGTACAGAAAGTCATCATCCAAGGAACAAAAGAAAGAATAAAAATATCAATTCTTTTGCATCCATTCTCCAAACAAAAACGTGCAGTTCACTGGGCTTTATGGAAGCTTGTTGTCCTGGAATTAATAATGATAATAATGCATTTAAATCAATTATTGTAATTTTAATGTTTTAGTGCTTAGAAGAAACTCTGAAGATCTTGCGTATCTTCTGTCGATCTACTTACTTCTCTTTACAGCAAAATAGAGTAGGGAAGTAGGTCAGTGCCTGTGCCGAAAGCAGAAAGTAAGCACTTTCGGTTTTTTTCCAAACATCATTATATTTCCATCTTGGCTCTGAGGCCGATGCCACCGATGCCCGCTGGCTTAGTGCTCTCTAACTTGTGGTCTGGTTCCATATGGCATCTGTCTTGGAGGAGCCTTATAGTTGGCTCCTTGCCAAGAGCGAAAGCAGACTTGGCACTCGCAGACTTATAGTTTGTAGGACAAGTGCCAGCAGAGATGTATGTGCTTATGTCGAAGGCCTGTAAGTGGCCGCTGAGTCCATAGGAAACATCACCCGGTTCATAGAATATTAAGTGACGACAGTGGACCTTTACCTCTTAAAGTGTCCAGATTCTGCAGGCACCTCTTCTTTGGGGTGTGACATAGGAAAAGATCACTTTGCCTCCATGGCTCAATTGCTTCATTTCCAAAATGGAGATAATGATTTCAGCTACTGGAGCTGTTGTGATATTGAGTGTCAAGCACCTGGCCAAGTTCTCTGGAAAAGGAGTAGGTCCTCAATAAATAATAGTTGAATTTGAATCTGATTCTTGCACTGTGGTGGGCGCCGAGGATGGCTGGGGAGTAAATAGAAGATCTTACAACGTCTTGAGGTATTACTGAGATTTGAGGTATTTGTTCCCATAATTACTTCTCTGAAGAGTACATTGTTTTTCCTGGCCTCTGGCAAGAACCCCCAAAGGTTTAACTGTTGGACACGCCATTTCTGGCTTCCTTAGAAGTGTCAGCTCTGACAGCCCCATGAGACAAAAGAAGTCAGACTAGAAATGAGCTTCCACCAGGAGGAAAGTTGGGAGTCCAGCGGGAGGATGCATTAGAAGTTAACCAGGCTGTGGCAGTGACATAAAGATCAGGGGTGTGGGGTTCGGCCAGATGGGTCGGGTCGGCCCACCTGTCCCTCACAGCGTGCGGGAAGATGTGCTGTCCTTGTTGTTGATTTGTATAACAACTAGACCTCCTTGGATTTCCTTAAGGAAGTGACTATCATGCCCTTAGCACTTGGTGCGAATCTTTGGGACAGTTGTTTGCACAATGGCAAGTAGTGAGGGCGAGGGTACCGATGTGGATGAGAGGCTCGCATTGAAGGGACCCTGTGGGGGTTGAGAGGAAGGAAGGGAATCTGTGGACATGGAGACGCCTAAGTGATTATTGAGAAAACGTGGGCCGGAAAGTAGTCTTAACGGACTCTGAAGTTCAGCGTTTTGCCCGCTCCTTCCCACAGTTAGAAAAGAGGACAGATGTGTGTGTTTCTTGCAATGCTGCCTTTTATTCAGCAGTGGGATTCCAGCGGCCCAGTAGGTCTTGCTCCTGGCCTTGTTTTCTCACAGATTTGCCATGAGCTGTTCACTCTCAGCCCAGGGCAGACTCGATGCAGCATTTGGCCACACGATGAGTTGGAAATATTTTGTGCTTTGGAGCCCATCGGGCCTGAGTTTGAATTCTACTTGTATAATTTATAAGCTGGTAATTTTAGGAAAGGAACTTACTTCTTAGATGTTTGCATCTGGAAAATAATACTTTCTCAAAACGTTGTTATAAGGATTAGAAATAATGTATGTAAAGCACCTTGCGCAGTATCTGGCTTATAAGTGCTCCTTTAAAAAAATTGTTCCTATTTAGGATATGAGTTGTGTTTGAGTCTATACGATGAGGAAATTTGGATTGAGAGGTAGACTTGTGGTAGTCGCTCATTTCAGGCGCATCACAAGTTCAAAGAAGAGGTTAAACACAGAAGCAGCTGTCCCTTGTTAGACACTTACTCTGGGCCCATATATTGTACCGAGCACGTGACTGTGAAATGGAGCCCGCCATTCCCATTTCACAGAGGAAGGGCCCGAGGCCCAGAGCGGCACAGTCAGGAAGCCGCCTCAGGGGACAGTAGGACTCCAGGCATCTCTGAAGGATGGCTGGTGTGAGAGGGATTGTAACTCTGAGCTCAGCACCACAAAGACCAAAAGTCAAAAGTACAGGACGTAAGCCCTCTTCTCAGTCTCCCCTCCTCTACGTGCCTCGGTGAGTGTGCATTTTTTGAGAAAGTAAAAAATGGCCTCTCGTTTGGAGAGACATGAAGGAATGCTCGCTCTGGGTTCTAAGTTTAGACATTAGGACTGCTATACTTCAACCCAGCTCCTCCATTATATTAACTGCTCTATACAGACAAGATGCAACAGCTCCGTGTTTTGAACTTCCGTTCTCTGTTAGCTGAGTGAGACCTGTGGCAATGCCTTCCTCTTTCCATTCTAGCTGATTGTCAACAGCGGTAACCACAAGTCCTTCCTGCCCCAGAAATAAGTCTTGCCACACACTCAGCTCTCAAAGAGCTGTGAACACTGCATTCTGTCCTGCGGGGGGCTCTTGTCACCTCCACCCCACCCACGTTAGCTCCATCAGGTTAAAGTGTTTATTGAATTCTCGAAGGGCGATTTGAAAACAAGTATGCATAAGGACAGGGTAAACTATAGAGATGGGATATAAGCAAGCATTTCATTACACCTAAAATATCGAAAGAAGATTTTTATGTTCAATATTTTCTTTAGCAGCCTTTTTTTTTTTTTTTTTTTTTAATAACGATAAGGTTGATTAGGGAAAGCTCTGAAAGTGCTTCAAGTTAGACAGTCTGATTGTTTATCTCAAGGGGAAAAAAATTAAGTGGTAAAATGCGGGGATGAGAAGAAGTAGAAATTGAAGCCAGGACCTGGTGAAGCATATTTGCCATCGTTTTGCTGTGGATTAAATTGAATTCACAGTTTCTCTTCTCCATAGATTTTTGTTTGCTTGCTTGGTTGGTTTTTAGCCCTAAATATCTTCCCCCCGCCCTCCCCCCCCCAAGAGCTTAGGACTAGCCTAGGTCCACAGCAGATTTAAGGTGTTTCAGTGTTTTTTGTTTGTTTTAACCAAATAAGAACCCTCCTGAAGATCTTTGAATACTTTCTTTTTATTACCCACGTCTACAGTGAACTGACTCCTGCCACTCTGTCTGAAGTTTTAGTTTACGTGGGCCCTTTTGACCTTTCTGCCTCTTGGACTGGAGGATGGTCATGGGCATGGCTCTGGAGATATTTTGTCTGCTGATTTACACTTATCGAGGTGCATTTTACTTTCACAGGCTGTGAGAAGCTAAACCAAGAGCACAGTACTGAAAATGAATGCTGCTCAAGGCATTCAGCCCTGTCACTTGACAGAGTGGGTGGGTCTAAGGTGCATTCAGAGGAGGGCACAACGAACAGGGTGTATGTTCTTGCTTTATTATTTACTGAAGCTCTGATGAGAGGATCCAAGTTAAAAAAAAAAAAACAGAAACAAAAACAAAAACAAACAAACAAACAAAAAACACCATCATCATCATATTACATGATGATGACTAGAATTGCAGGCTCTAGACAAGCATTCTCTTTTCCAAACGGGGGCTTTGGAAATCTTAGGGAAGAGTGATACGTGAAAGCTTATGTTCTTGCTTTTGGTATCAGCCTCAAATATTTACTGAAGCTAGGAGGAGAAAGGGCCGACTTTTCTCTTTTCTCTCCCAAACGTGTGATTGTTTAGAACTCAAGTGCAACATCTGGAAGTCAGACATACAGAGAGCAATTTATGGAGTGTGAAAGATTTGAAATATTCAATGTCCTTTAGCGGGAACTCAACTTTGTGGGGCTGCATTTTTTTTTTTCCCCCAGCACAAAGCAGGCAATTCTGAGATCGCCTTTGCCTCTCTGAATTAAACCCTTTGTGCCCGGGTCCCATAAACAATGCGCTTTTTAAATGGGAAACCCCCTCCCCGCCCAGGCCCTCTCCTCCAGGGTCGGCAGCCAATCGGCTGCACCCAGCCGCATTGCTGGAGCCTTTTCCTTTCTGAGCAGCAACAACGTACTAATTTGATGCACACATGGATGCCTCGCGCGCACTCTGCAAATTCATCATCAGCATCTCGCATTAGTCATCTGACGGACTGCCAAATGTTTCATTTTCTTTTCATGTGACTTTATTATTACCACCTCTCTCCTCTCTTCCAAAAAA